AGTCCCGGGTGCCAGACTCGATCAAAAGCCTGTTCTACATCGGGAAAGACTCCCGTGCAGTACATTCCGCGCTCTAATGCACAGGAGACAACATCCACCACACGATGGCATTGCTGGATAGTGGAATGGGATCTGCGGAATCCAAACTGGTGATCTGGGATTATGTGATTAGAATCTAGGATTGGGTACAGGCGTTTTAGGATGAGTTTTTCTAGGTCTTTTCCCATGATGGGTAAAAGAGAGATAGGACGGTAAGAGGATGGGTATTCTGGTGGCTTTTTGGGTTTATGTATCATTTTGATAATGGATAGTTTTCAAGGGTCGGAAAAATATGTTGATCGGAGTACAGCATTATATATATATGTAAGGAATAGAATGGCTTTTCGAGGAAGTAGTTTTAGGATCTGGGATGTAATTAGGTCGTGTCCAGGAGCTTTGCGGGAAGGTAACCTGTGAATGATGTTGGATATTTCCGAAGGATGAAAGGTTTTAGGAGGACTCATTTGGAGTGGGATATCCAGTTCTGCTTCAATACATTCAAGGTGATTTGGGTTAAGAATATCGGGATGTGGATTAAAGGTTTTAAAGAGGTGGTGAGCAAATATTTGAGATTTTTCTTCGTCGGATTTGGACCAGGTTTGGGCTTCAGTGAGTAGTGGATGGTTTCAGTCTTTAAATTTCAGGAGCCTTTTAGTGGTTGTCCATAGTGATTTATCGGTAGGTGTAAGTTTTTCAGTAAAATTTAGTAAATTTTGAATTTTGTATTTTCTTATTTCTGATTTCAGTTTGTTAGCCAGTTGGGTGTAATGCGCTTTATCAGTCGGGTATCTAGTTCGATGCCACTTCGATCTTGCTCTGCGTTTTTCCTTTAATAATATGCGAATATGCTGTGGCAAGTTAGTATTTTGTGGGTTGTTAATCTTATTGAGAAAGGTATTATTATTTATACTGTCTGTTATTGATGATGTCAGTTTTTCTATGGCACCATTAATGTCTTTAGCGGAATTTTGAGGTCAAGTTTGTTTTCCAAATCATCACGAAATTTGTCCCAGTTTACTCGTCCAGTGATCAGTTTGGGAGGTGATGGCTTAGGAGCAAAATCAGAATGTAATGAAAGCAGAACTGGAGTATGGTCTGAAGAAAGGTCATCCAGGGATTTGATTATAGTTTGGGAGGAGGAAATCTGGGAGGTGATAAATATATCCAGGATATCGGGACGTTTTTTGAGGGATGTTGGCCAATAAGTAGGACTCATGGGCGAGAGGATTGAATAACTATTAGAAGATGAGAGACGGGAAAGGATGTTACCGTGGGAGTTGGATGTTCGACAACCCCACCGTTGGTGTTTAGCATTGTAATCTCCTCCAGCAATAAAGCGCGATCCGAGGGATTGGAACAACGTATCAAGGAGATTAAAGGAGAGGGAATTACCAGGAGGACAGTATACAGCTGAGACTGTGAAATGGAAAGGGCGAGTTGAAAGGATTACAGAAGTTGATTGAATGGCGTCAGTTGGAGTGGAAGAAATAAGGGAATGGGGTAAAGATTTATGTATAAGGATGCAAGAACCGGCGTGGGCAGTGTTGTCTGGATGGTCAGATCTATAAGTGGTGTAGTCTCGTATGTGAAAATGTGTCCGTTTTGTGAAATGCGTTTCAGTCAGTAGAGCTATATCAATGTGATTGTCATGAAGAAATATGTCAAGTTCGTCACGGTGGTTGTGTACTCCGTTAGCATTCCATAAAAGGATAGTTAGGGGCTTTGTGCTCATCGAGGGAAATTAAACGGAATTTCGTTCAGGATTCTGGTTAGTAGAGTGATAAGAGGTTTTATGGTGTTTTGGAAGGATAGGAATGGAATCCAATAGGAAGGATGATAGAATGGAAGTTAGATCAGATGGATGTTGATTGTGAAGTGGATTTAGGATAGCTTCAGGTGGCGGGTAAGGAGTGTTAACTGAGAGTGGGATTCGTTGTTGTGTACGAGGTGGGACTGGATTCGACGATACTTGTGCTGGTTTTTTTTGGGGGGGCATTAGGATGAGATGGGTGCGATTGCTGTGGCGGTAATTTGACTCGTAGAGGTAGATGATGAGGGGGAATTTGCTGACGCGGAGGATGAAATATGAGAGGAGTGGGAGTATGATGTTTAGCTTGGGAGGCCTGAGGCGCCTGGAGCCGAGGCTGTTGCTTCTTGATGGTGGTATGGGTCCTAGTTTTGGTAGAGTCCTGTTGAGGATGGGCGATTTCAGTTGAAGTAGTTGGTTCTTGTTGTGTTGAATGGGTAGTTTGTTTTGGCAACTCAGGAAAATTTGTAATATCAATTTCTGGTGGCTGGGTGTACGTTTCTTTATTTAGTTGGCTTCACTTTAAAGCTATGTTATGAGTTCTTAACTTGTAGTATTTTTTATATACTATGCATCCTTTATAGCTTGCAGGATGGTCTTCGCCACAGAGAGCACATTTACGAGGCTGGTCTCGAGGGATCTGACAAGTGTTAGATGCGTGTGGCCCGGCACATCTAACGCACCTCGCTTGATGATGGAAATAGGTCTTTGTGTGCCCCAAGTCTTGACTCTTGGAGCATTGAACTATGACAGGTTTTTGTCTAGGCTCTTCGAATTTTACTGTGGAATACACAAGCCTCTTAACTTGAAAAATGTCAATGTTATTGCTTGCAGGCTTCAAATCAACGAAAAACAGTGGCAATGGATATTTTTGCGTTGGATGTAGGATGTATATGCCTAATGTCCCATTTCCTCTAGATCAGATTTGATAACGGATATGGGAGTGGTTGAGTGCAAGCCTCTCAATACCACCCGATATGCCTTTTCTTGTCTCAGTTGTTAACAATGAAATTCATATTTTTCAGTTGTAAAATAATTTATCAGAGTTTTATAATTTTCTTTAGAGCTCGTGTTAATCTTAATGTCATTAACCCTAGAAAAACTGCGGAAACTGGTTTGTCCGATAAGATTGGCAATTTCTTGAACGAATGATATAAAATTTTCCATTTTAGAGACAAAAATAGGGGGCGGCTCGGGGTCAGTAAAACCTTGAGGTACCGGAGGCTTGTTAGGTGAGTTACTACCAAGATCAAAATTATTGCTGGCTGTGGTATTTGGTGCAGTTGGAGCTGTTTTTGTGGTGTTTGATTTGCTTCTAGTTCTGGGTGGTGATTTATTTTGCTTGGCAGGCTGTTTAGATTTATTTTGTTCATCTGTCTGTTTAGATTTTGCTGATTTATTTTTCTTCTTGTTAGGCGAATTGCCACCTGACCCAGGGGCAGAGTTTCTGTGACGTTTTTGAAGCGAGCGTCTTTTCAGATATTGCGAATCAGTTTCGCTAACCTCGGAAAATGGTGTCTCGTCCTCTGAATCTTCACATGAAGATTTCTCGTCCAAATTCATATCTTCCATTATGATAAGAAGAGAAAGAGAGAAAAAAAAATATATATACCTAAATATTAAAACTACAAAATAAGAATTTACGATCTATTAAAAAGAAGAAAAAAAATTACAAACTCAGAAACAGAAATAAAACAAAACATTTCTGAGAATAAATAAACAAAGGAAAAAAATTAAATAAACTGTCTCTTGGAGAAGAAAAAAAAAAAAAAAAAGAAAAGAAAAAGAAAAAAAAAAGGAGTTCTACTAGTCTTTGGTTTCGAACTGAGATCAGCTGACGGAAGCGAGCTAGTATACAAACCTTGGCCTCGAACTTAACGTAAATAAGATAAGAACAGCAAGGGAATTAACAGCCACATGGGCTATTTAAACGAGCACTAATTTATCACTTCAATGTTAGTAAATTGTAACTCACCTCTTTATCTGTGAACTTAAAAATGTTCAACTGTTTATAATGTCACTGTTAATCAATTATTAACACAGAGTTTTGACTAATAAGCACATAGCAAAGTAATAATCACAGAGCGAACTGAAAACTAAACTGCAGTAGCGGCCATGACACTTACTCTCGGAATAAAAGTTGAAAATTTTTGCATATGACCAGTTTGCACTAATAATAGTGATATATACTTAATAGGTATGTTTTCACTCGTAAAATGGAAGAGAGAGAAAATCCATGGGAGAAATTCAACTTGTTATTCGTTCGGAGTTAACGTGATCAATACTTTTCTTCTGTCCGAACAAAACAAACACTTTAAGCTAGAAAATATAAAAATATGTGTGAAGTTCACATAACTTCGATATCTAAGTAACAAGCAGGAAACTGATTGAACTTCAACGGAAATAAACACAATCACAAATAAGACTTTTTTTTTACGAATTCAGAGTAAAAATTACTTTAAATTTACTGATCATTACACGAAATTTAAGTAACGACAGTAATTGTCATCGTAACAGTAACGTTTGGAATCAACCAAAAAAACACAGTATCAATTATTTTTTTGTACAAAACCTAAAATTTTATAACCCTATAATAATATTGTAACAACCTAACTCCCACTAAATATGATCAATGCCTTCAATATTTCGCAGCCATTATATTGTTAACAATTATTTATATTAATTTTGATTATTTAATGGAATTCAATTAAATTGGCAGACAGACAGACTTCTTTTTCTTCCTCTACCTCCTTTGTGCCTTTCAGCGTAGAGATGCCTCGATCCATGCATCCCATGCATTTCGGTCCCGAGCTAGAGCCCTTATACAAACAGACAGACAGACACCGAACCAGATTTGATCCTTGATGTCTGAAACGTAAAACGCGAGTGACAATTCTTCGATTCTGAGCACAAAATTTTTTTTAAACTCTCGCACGAATACAATGCTTCCCTACCTTCGGTAGTGAGGAAGCAATACACATACAAATACAGACCATAAAGACCTATACATACACTTATACATTGAAATGTAAACATACATGTTATTAGCACTGATAGAAATGAAATGAAATGAAGTGGACTGTATGGCAACACAAAACACTAATTTGAGGTCATTGTATTTTCTATGTTCCTTTTTTATTTGTCTTCACATTAGTAAAACCCTCTTCGTCGACAGCCATAAAAGCAATCGCGTCGTCAGGAGAGGCAGTTGTTAAACTTAACAGAGGAACTGTGTTAGGAGGGGAGGAAAGGAGAATTGGGGAGAGAAGGAGGAACTACGAACGGCTTCGATTTCTGGTCTTGAGTGTTTGTTGTATAGAGGCCGTAGAAGTAGAAGGAGTGGGGGTAGTTTCGGCGACAGAAGAAGTTTTTTTGACATGTCGGAGCTTTCCAAACTGTATACATACTAGTTGTTTTGTACACTTTGAACTTAAGTATTTATGCCCAAGGTAGTTCAGGCCCCTTAGTTGGTTAGGAACATAGACGCAGACTTCATTAATTTGGATAGTTTTCAGGGCTAAACGAAATGAATTATGAATATGAATGAAAGGGTGGATTGGGGGAGCAGGGGAGTTTTTCCAGGACAGAACAGATGGACCTGGGTAACTGAATAAGGGGTTAACTGTGTCCAACCAGCCCACGCACATTATCCAGTCAGACTGATTTAAACCGCATTTCCATCCATTGTTCCGATCTTCTATCATTGATATAATTATTCTCTTCAAAATTCTACCTTCCCTACATCCTGGAAAACCGCTAGTACACCCCTTGAAGAAGACCTCAAACTCATCAGCTCTTAATGATTTCCGACCACGGGCGGATCTACGGGGGGGGGGCTTTCGGGCTGAAGCCCCCCCCCAAATGGAAAAATATAACCATGTTTTATGGGAAAAAAAATTTAAAAAATACCTCTTAAAGTATTATTGTTCGTGTAATTACATTTAAAAGTACTTAAGGAATAGCTTAAACACCATTTCATATAGGTAGTTAGTTTCTTTCGGTTTTTCCAAAGTAATTATCGTTATTTTTAGGAAAAAAAAAGGTTTCGGGCTGAAGCCCCCCCCCCCAAAATTAAATCCTGGATCCGCTAGTGTTTCCGACCGAGTTCCCTTCTTCCAAACCTCTCAAACATTTTAGAGTGATTAGTCCGATTCCAGCTCTCCCATTTTTTAGATGACAATAATCTCCTAAATCTCCGACCCTTTTTTCCATCTATATAAAGGACCTCCCATCCTCTTTCCTGCACTGTCAATACCACCTGTATACCGACGACATTCAAATTTACCTCTCCCTTAATCCGACCAATTTCTCAGATGCCATTCTAAAACTCCAAGAAGATATTAACAGAATAAGTGCATGGGCAAACCTCAACAAGCTCAATCTGAACGCTGAGAAGACAAAAAAAAGCCATCTTGATTGGTTCTCCCTCACTCCTCAAATTCTTCCCGGTATTCCCCTCCTGAACAACTCACCTATCTTATTCCATACTACTGTTAAAAAACTAGTTGTTACTTTTGATCAAACCCTGTCTTGGAAATAATACATCTCCCAAATTCTCCGTAGCACTATCTTCACAATAAAACAGTTCAATCGTCTAAGTTATCTCCTTCCATATAAGTCCCGCCAACTCCTAGTTTCATCCCTTGTTTTCCCCTCCTTCGACTATGGCTGTATGGTGTAAGGTGGACTCTCGGGAGATTTCGAAGCCAAACTTAAACGTCTAAAGAATTGCGCACTACGATTTGTTTTCGGAATCTCAATTGATACGCATATTACCCTGTATTACAGCGAGTTGAAGTGGTTCTTACCCATGCTATCGCCGTCAGTACTTCCTAGCCACCATTCTGTACCAGATCATTAGAACTCATCGACCCTCCTATATTTTTCACAGTTTACAATTCAAATACTCCATCCAATCCCGTCCCACTAGATCTCGTACTTCCGACCTCTATCCTCCTCTTCACCGAACTGCTGCGTTTGACAAATCCTTCGCAATTCTCCTCCCTCTGGAATTTCATCCCTGCTGATATTCGACACGCACAATCAGTTTCCTGCTTCGAAGCTCTCTTCTATACACACCTACTCCTTTCTCAATCCTACTGATTACGAAATATACCTAAGAGAATTATTAAAGTAACTCCAGAGAGTACCTTAATTTATTTTAGTTTCTTATATATATGTACAGTCTGCTTGTCTTTTTCTCCTCCTTCTTCTATATTCTTATATTTAATTAAATAATATTGTTTTTTTTTTTGTTTTTTTTAATTTTACTGATTTGAGTTCTACCAATGGGTAGTCTCTCTTCATGTTTTACACGTCATGTTACCAATGTCACATTCACTTGTTGTATTTTTAATGAAATATAGTTGTAAATTTCATTAAAATATAATAAAATAAAAAAATCAATTTTACTGAAATTTACTACTGTATTACATAGAAAATACATCAAGTAAATGTACCATCTCATATAGTATATATATAATTGGTAACCTAGACTTCAAGCCCCCACTCAATTGTGATCACGATAATAATCTATGTGTCAGTATATATTTTCATTAATTCTTTTAATAAAAAAAGAGAGAGACATTTAAGTCTAATGCATAAAAATATCAACGATAGTCCTCAGCTTAAATTTTAGTAATAAATAATTTTAAATAACCTTCAGGTTGCTTCCAGCCCACGAGAACTGTGGAGAAAAAGTGAACCTGAACAGGAGAGATCAGCTGGGACTGCACAATCCTGGATTAACTGTGTCGATGCATCCAAGGCACATCTTCTAAAATTTGAGGAAAACAGAGTTGGTAATCTCGATTGCCCGCCGCCTTTGCACTGCGACTACGATAACAATTTATGCGTCAGTATATATCTTTATTAATTAAGAAACATTAAGGCCATTAATTAAAACTGCCCACAATAAATCACAACTTATATTCCATTAATATGTAATTGTTAATGACCTTTAGTTTACCACCAGACCACGTGCAGTATGGATAAATAGTGATGGTGAAAAGGTGATAACACCTGGGACTGAAATATCCGAGATTAACTGTGTCGATACATCCAAGGCACATCTTCTAAAATTTGAGGAAAACAGAGTTGGTAATCTCGAATGTCCGCCGCCTTTGCATTGCGACTACGATAAGAATCTATGCGTCAGTATATATCTTTATTAAATTAGAAACATTAAGTCTATTAATTACAACTGCACACAATAAACCACAACTTATATTCCATTAATGTGTAATTGTGAATGACCTTTAGTTTACCTCCAGACCACGTGCAGTATGGACAAATAGTGATGGTGAACAGGTGATAACACCTGGGACTGAAATATCCGAGATTAACTGTGTCGATACAGCCAAGGCACATCTTTTAAAATTTGAGGAAAACAGAGTTGGTAATCACGAATGTCCGCCGCCTTTGCATTGCGACTACGATAAGAATCTATGCGTCAGTATATATCTTTATTAATTTAGAAACATTAAGGCTATTAATTAAAACTGCTCACAATAATTCACAACTTATATTCCATTAATATGTAATTGTGAATGACCTTTAGTTTACCTCCAGACCACGTGCTTTGTGGATAAATAGTGAAGGTGAACAGGTGATAACACCTGGGACTGAACTATCCACGATTAACTGTGTCGATACATCCAAGGCACATCTTCTAAAATTTGAGGAAAACAGAGTTGGTAATCACGAATGTCCGCCGCCTTTGCACTGCGACTACGATAACAATTTATGCGTCAGTATATATCTTTATTAATTTAGAAACATTAAGGCCATTAATTAAAACTGCTCACAATAATTCACAACGTATATTCCATTAATATGTAATTGTGAATGACCTTTAGTTTGCCTCCAAACCACGTGCAATATGGATAAATAGTGATGGTGAACAGGTGATAACACCTGGGACTGAAATATCCGAGATTAACTGTGTCGATGCAGCCAAGGCACATCTTTTAAAATTTGAGGAAAACAGAGTTGGTAATCACGAATGTCCGCCGCCTTTGCATTGCGACTACGATAAGAACCTATGCGTCAGTATATATCTTTATTAATTTAGAAACATTAAGGCCATTAATTAAAACTGCTCACAATAATTCACAACGTATATTCCATTAATATGTAATTGTGAATGACCTTTAGTTTGCCTCCAAACCACGTGCAATATGGATAAATAGTGATGGTGAACAGGTGATAACACCTGGGACTGAAATATCCGAGATTAACTGTGTCGATACAGCCAAGGCACATCTTTTAAAATTTGAGGAAAACAGAGTTGGTAATCACGAATGTCCGCCGCCTTTGCATTGCGACTACGATAAGAACCTATGCGTCAGTATATATCTTTATTAATTTAGAAACATTAAGGCTGTTAATTAAAACTGCTCACAATAATTCACAACTTATATTCCATTAGTTTAGGTGCTCTCAACCATTCCGTTGCCCGTCTTGACGAGCTTTCCTCATACCACAGCCCATTAATACTCCAAGTATCACTAGCTCCTACTCCTCCGTCCTTCATCAGAGGCCCAGTTAACTGGAAACTCTTTCATCAAATCCTCTCCGATAAAATTGACCTCAGAGTAACCCTGAAAACCCCTGAAGACCTGGACAATGCAGTACATTCCTTCACTACCAAAATTCAAGAAGCAGTCTGGACTGCTTCCTCCTCTGATCACTCCTCAAAAATCGTTAAGAAACATAATTTACCTCAACACCTCCTTGACCTAATCCACATAAAACGCCGTGCCAGATTATTATGGCAACGTACCAGACATCATGCCGACCGCCACTTCTAAAATGATCACTGTAAAAAATTAAAACAAGAATTAGCCTCCTTCAGATCCCAATCATTCAATTCCTACCTCACCACACTCTCTGCTCATGATAATTCCCTTTGGAATATCACCAGAAAAATCCTCAAATCCCATCATATTTCTCACCCTCTTCGACGAGATGATGGCTCCTGGGCACCATCTGATGAAGATAAAGCCGAGGAATTTGCCAAACACCTTTCCTATACTTTCGCTCCTCATCCAGAATCCCATCCCAGCCACACAGTACAAGTAGAAGAATCCCTCTCAATACCTATCCCACTCTCCTTACCTCCTAAAGCTGTTAATTCCTCTGAGGTCAAATACCTTTTACGGAAAATCACTCCTCGCAAATCTCCTGGATATGACCTTCTAACCCCACAGATCCTTCGACAACTTCCATCTAAAGCCATCATATTTCTTACATATATACAATTGCATCCTACGAACTACCCACTTCCCTCTTTTATGGAAACATTCCACCATCGTCCTCTTCTTGAAACCAGGCAAACCTTCCAACAATACAGCATCCTATAGACCAATTAGCCTATTCCCAATCCTCTCAAAAATTTTTGAAAAGATCCTACTGAAACGAATCCTTCCTATAATTGAATCCTATAACCTTCCTACTCATCAATTCGGATTTCGTTCCCAACATTCCACTGTCCAACAAGGACTCCGAGTCGTTGACCATATATCCTCAACCCTAGAAAGCAAGCAGTATTGCTCGGGTGCATTTCTGGACATAGCGCAAGCTTTTGACCGGGTATGGCACGCTGGATTACTCTTCAAGCTTAAAATCCACCTACCACAGTCCTTATACCTAGTACTCCGATCCTATCTTTCCGACCGCTCCTTCCGAGTTCGCTGTGGCACCGAATTCTCCAACTGTTACTCAATTGAGGCTGGCGTTCCTCAAGGCAGCGTCTTGGGCCCCATCCTTTACATTCTCTTTGCCGCTGATATTCCTGTCCATCCCGATACCCTCCTGGCAACTTTCGCTGATGGCACTGCTATCCTTTCTTCCAACTCAGATCCTGAAACAGCGTCCGCAAACTTACAGAGGCACATCTTCCTGATTGAACACTGGTGTAAGAAATGGCGCATTAAGGTAAACGAATCTAAATGTAAACACATTACCTTCACCCTTCGGCGTAATACCTGCCCACCAGTTTATTTTAATTCCATCCAGCTTCCTTTCTCAGATACAGTCCGGTATCTTGGCTTTCTCTTAGACAGACGACTAACATGGAATCCACATACTAGACTTAAAAGACAGGAACTTAACAGACGATATGGCCAGCTATATAGACTACTGAAAATCTAAACTTTCTGGTGAAAACAAATTACTGATCTACAAGACAATACTGAAACCCATATGGACTTACGGACTAGAACTATGGGGAACAGCCAAATTTTCTAACATCAAACGCATTCAATCCTTTCAGTCTAAAGTCCTCCGTATAATAGTCAATGCTCCCTTCTATGTAACCAATAAAACCCTACACCATGACCTTAATATCCAATTTATTCTTGATCTTATCCCAGCCAAATTTTCCAAATTTCACCAGAACCTTTCTCATCACCCAAATCCCGTTGTACAATCCCTATCAAGCACCACCCATCCCTACAATCCCCTTCGTAGGTTAAAGCGGCAGTGGCCACGAGACCTTTTGTAAATATGGATATTTTGGAGTTCTAGCAATGGCCAGATTCTCCACTCAAGTCATGAGTGTCTGTGGCTGTAGCGCTCTTACTCATCCTCCGCTGGTTTAAAATACCAGTGAAGTGGCTGAGGGAGAAGCATAGGGATCTCCTAAGCCTCCCTTTTCCCTCCACATGTGGAGGGGACAGGATTGGTTCGGAGATCACCTGGCAAATTGTAAATAATGTATATAGGTATGTTTTATATAATGTATTTGTTTTACTTTTATTTCTATTTTTATTTACTTATGTGTAAATATATTTTTTTTTCTTTACTCTTTTGTTCTTTTTTCTTATTCTTTTGTTATTACTTTATTTATTTATATTTTTGTATATACGGTATGAATGCAATCTCTGAACTCTATTATAAGTGTCCTTAAACTGTGAAAAATTGTAATATTTCTGAATAAAGTGTTTTAAAAATAATATATTCCATTAATATGTAATTGTTAATGACCTTTAGTTTACCACCAGACCACGTGCAGTATGGATAAATAGTGATGGTGAAAAGGTGATAACACCTGGGACTGAAATATCCGAGATTAACTGTGTCGATACAGCCAAGGCACATCTTTTAAAATTTGAGGAAAACAGAGTTGGTAATCACGAATGTCCACCGTCTTTGCATTGCGACTACGATAAGAATCTATGCGTCAGTATATATCTTTATTAAATTAGAAACATTAAGTCTATTAATTAAAACTGCCCACAATAAATCACAACTTATATTCCATTAATATGTAATTGTTAATGACCTTTAGTTTACCACCAGACCACGTGCAGTATGGATAAATAGTGATGGTGAAAAGGTGATAACACCTGGGACTGAAATATCCGAGATTAACTGTGTCGATACAGCCAAGGCACATCTTTTAAAATTTGAGGAAAACAGAGTTGGTAATCACGAATGTCCACCGTCTTTGCATTGCGACTACGATAAGAATCTATGCGTCAGTATATATCTTTATTAATTTAGAAACATTAAGGCTATTAATTAAAACTGCTCACAATAATTCACAACTTATATCCCATTAATATGTAATTGTGAATGAACTTTAGTTTACCTCCAGAACACGTGCTTTGTGGATAAATAGTGAAGGTGAACAGGTGATAACACCTGGGACTGAACTATCCACGATTAACTGTGTCGATACAGCCAAGGCACATCTTCTAAAATTTGAGGAAAACAGAGTTGGTAATCACGAATGTCCGCCGCCTTTGCACTGCGACTACGATAACAATCTATGCGTCAGTATATATCTTTATTAATTTAGAAACATTAAGACCATTAATTAAAACTGCTCACAATAATTCACAACTTATATTCCATTAACATGTAATTGTGAATGACCTTTAGTTTGCCTCCAGACCACGTGCAATATGGATAAATAGTGAAAGTGAACAGGTGATATCACCTGGTACTGAACAATCCACGATTAATTGTGTCGATACAGCCAAGGCACATCTTCTAAAATTTGAGGAAAACAGAGTTGGTAATCTCGAATGTCCGCCGCCTTTGCACTGCGACTACGATAACAATCTATGCGTAAGTATCTATCTTTATTAATTTTGAAATATTAAGGCCATTAATTAAAACTGATCACAAAAATTCACAACGTATATTCCATTAATATGTAATTGTGAATGACCTTTAGTTTGCCTCCAGACCACGTGCAATATGGGTAAATAGTGAAGGTGAACAGGTGATATCATCTGGTACTGAACAATCCACGATTAATTGTGTCGATACATCCAAGGCACATCTTCTAAAATTTGAGGAAAACCGAGTTGGTAATCTCGAATGTCCACCTCCTATGCACTGCGACTACGATAACAATATATGCGTCAGTAAATATCTTTATTAATTTAGAAACAGTAAGGCCAATAATTAATAACTGCTCACAATGTTTCCTAACTTATATTGCATTTTTTAAAAATATATTTATTGAATAAGAATACAATCCGCCACTGCTGGAGGGCTATAAGCATTAGGGCTAAAAGTTCTCATTCATACAATATATACAAATAATAAAGAAATAAATATAAATATAAGAAGTAAATAAATAATACTGATGAAGAAGGTAAATAAAAATAAAAAAAAAATAAACAAATAAAATAAAATAAAAACTTCTAAACACAATCATAACTATATACAATATATAAATTCGCCCAAGAATCTCTAAACCAGGCTTTTCCCCCCCACATGTGGAAGGCAAAGCAAGACCCCGGATGATCCCAGTGCCACTTTTCCAGCCGCATCACTAGTATTAGAAGCCAGTGGAGACTGAAAAAGTGCACTAAAGCCACAGACGCTCAGGACATGAGTGGAGAAGCTAGCCATTGCCAGGACTCCATAGGCATATTTACAAAAGATCTGGAGGCCGCTGCCGTTTCAATCTTTGAGGGGGATAGTATGGATGCTCGGAGCTGGATAGGGATTGCATTAGTGGATTGTGATGATGAATAAGGTTCTGGTGAAAGTTGGAGAATCTGGATTGGATGATGTCATGAACATATGGGATGTTAAGGTCATGATGTATAGTCTTGTTTGTGGCATAATATGGAACATTGACTATTGTTCGTAGGACGTTGGACTGGAAGGATTGGATGCGTTTGATATTCGATAATTTAGTTGTCTCCCACAGTTCATGTCCGTAGGTCCAAATAGGTTTCAGTATGGTCTTGTAGATTAATAATTTTTTTTCTCTTGGGAGATGAGATGTTCTGTTTAGTAGTCTATATAGCTGAACAATTCGTCGGTTAAGCTCTTGTCTTTTAAGTCCCGTATGTGGTTTCCAAGTTAGTCTTTTGTCTAGAAGGAAGCCAAGGTAACGGACTGTGTCTGAGTAGGGAAGAGGGATTGAATTAAAAAGGATTGGTGGATAGGATCTGCATCGAAGAGTGAAAGTGACATGTTTGCATTTTGATTCATGAATTTTGATGCACCAGTTGTTGCACCACTGCTCAATGAAGGAGACATGTCTTTGCAGTTTGCGGGATGTTATCAGAGGATCTGAGTGAGAGGATAGGATGGCAGTATCATCAGCAAATGTTGCTAGGAATGTATCAGGACTTGAAGGGATGTCAGCGGTGAAAAGGATGTAGCCAACTGGGCCCAAGACACTGGCTTGTGGAACACCAGCCTATGTAAGAAATATAATTGCTTTTTTGGGAAGTTGTCTGAGAATCTAGGATGTAAGGAGATCGTGTCCTGGAGATTTACGAGGTTTTAGGTTCTTTAAAAGAAATTTGATCTCAGAGGGGTTGACGGCTGTAGGAGGTAAGGAGATGGGAATTCTTTTACTTCAGCAGTATGGGAGGGATCGAGTTCAGGATGAGGAATGAATGTGTACGATAGATGTTTAGCAAACTCTTCTGCTCTTTTCTCATCTGACGAAGCCCAGGAACCATCACCACGGCGGAGGGGGTGGGAAATGGATTGGAATTTAAGGATTTTTTTAGTTACATTCCAGAGGGACTTATCACTTGCAGAAATTGAGAAAAGATAGGAATTATAGGATTGGGATCTAAAGCCAGTTTTTGTTTTAACTGCTTGGAATAATAGTTATATGATTTCCGATCATCAGGATGCCTGGTTCTTTGCCAGATGGTCCTAGAGCATCGTTTTATATTAATAAGGTCCAGTAGGTCATGGGGTAGAGGATTTATTTAGTCCACGGGCAGTTCTAAAATTTGAGGAAAACAGAGTTGGTAATCTTGAATGTCCGCCGCCTTTGCACTGCGACTACGATAACAATCTATGCTTCAGTATATATCTTTATTAATTTAGAAACTTTAAGGCCATTTATTAAAACTGTTCACAATAATTAACAACTTATATTCCATTAATTTGTAATTGTGAATGACCTTTAGTTTACCCCCAGACCACGTGAACTGTGGATAAATCGTGATGGTGAACAGGTGAACCCAGCTGGACCTAACTGTGTCGATCCCGAGAACGCACATCTTCTGAAATTTGAGGAAAACAGAGTTGGTAATCTCGATTGCCAGCCGCCTTTTCACTGCGACTACGACAACAACCTATGCGTCAGTACATATCATTATTATTTTAGAAACATAATTGCTAATATTTGAAACTGCCAACAATATTTGGAAGCTTATATTGCATTAATAAGTAATTGTTAGTAAACTTTAGGTTGCCTCCAGTCCACGTGCACTGTGGATAAAAGATGGACCTGGGCAGGTGAGAACAGCTGTACCTACGCAATCTGGGGTTAACTGTGTTGACCCTGTTTACCAACATCTTCTTAAATTTGCAGAAAACAGAGTTACTAATCTAGACTGTCTGCCGCCCTTGCATTGTGACTACGATAACAATCTCTGCGTCAGTACATATATTTATGTATTCTTTTATTAAATAAGAGAAGGAGTTAATTATGGGATGCGTTCAAATAAATACTAAATTAAAATATATTACTTATGTAATTTTTGCAGACGTTTCGACCCAATTTTCAGGTCGTCTTCAGGGCGTAGGATGTAGCACTGCAGGAGGCAGTTGAAACACTGAACCATCTCTACAATTTTTAATAAATAATTGATAACAATTAAGGCGTATAATTAAAAATGCTTACAATATTCAGCAAATTGGATTCCATTAATAAGTAATTGTGAATAATCTTTAGGTTGCTTCTAGTCCACGTGGACTGTGGATGAAAAATAAAATTCCACAGGAGAGAACTGCTGGACCTGGAGATTTAGTGGTTAACTGTGTCCCTGCTGCGTACGCACCTCTTCTTCAATTTAAGGAAAATAGAGTTAGTAATCTAGATTGCCAGCCGCCTTCGCAATGCGATTACGATAACAATCGATGCGTCAGTATATATCTTTATTAATTCTTTTAATAAATAAAATATAAACATTAAGGATAATTATTAAACATGCTCACAATATTCCGAAGCTTTGATTTCATTTATAAGTAATTGTGAACAACCTTTAGGTTGCCTCCCGCCGACGAGCCTTGTGGAGAGCAAACAAACTTGCACGGGGAAGACCAAGTGGACCTGCACAACCTGGGATCAATTGTGTCGATCCTGCGTACGCACATCTTCTACAACTCAACAAATTTTCTAGGTTGAGAATTGGCAACTTAGACTGCCCGCCGCCTTTGATCTGCGACTATTATATAAATCAATGCGTCAGTACACATCCTTATTAATAAATTTTTTTTTATATACATAGTTCTTGTGTAATAATACAATCTGTCACATTAAAGAGCTACAAGTATTAGTGCTGCATATGTCTTACAAGTCATACGATGAATGCATATAAAGGAGATATAAATAATAATAAAACAATTTTAGATTGTATGATAATAATAATAATAACTAACGGTGCTAATGATTAGAAATAAAAATAATAAGATAAAAAGAAAATGAAAAGTGCCACTTTAGAAATAAAAATTGTCCTTAAACATACTTATATCTACGTACAATAATTGTATTAACCCATGCAGACCCGAACCAAGATTTGTCCTCACCATGCTTTGTACGCTAGGGCATCCTAGTGCATGATTCTCCGCCGCGTCCCTGGTATTCGAAGCCAGTGGAGACTGAATGAGTGCAGTCTAGATATAGGCGCTCTGGGAATGGTCATGGTCTGAATACTTTCACGAGGTATTGGGGTCACTGCCGTTTTAATCTAAAAAGAAGGATTGCAGGGATGATCAGAGGTAAATAAAGATTGAGCTAGAGGATTTGGATGACGAATAAACTTTTTGAGAAATCTTGAGGATCTGGATGGCTTTATATCATGGACGAATGGGGTGTTTAGGTTATAATGTACAGTCTTTTTTGTGAAATAATATGAAGCATTGACTATTGTTTTCAGTACATTGAACTTTGTTTGGATGAATGCATCTAATAATCGAATTTATAGCTGTCCCCCAAATTAATTCTGTAGGTCCAATGTCCAGTTGCGATGTCTATAGATTATGTATACAAAAGATGAGATGTTCATTTTAATAATATATGTATAGCACAATTTATATATATATATATATATATATATATATATATATATATATATATATATATATATATATATATAGTCGGTTAACTCGGGTTATATGTTATATGTTATATGTTATATGTTAATCTTTTGACTAGCAGTAAGCCAATGTGCCGAACTGTGTATTAATAGGAAATAAATATTAAAGTAAAATGGACTGGCGGACAATATCTGCGTCTGAGAAATTGACACGTTTACATCTTGATTCATTGGCTTTGTTGCACTATATGGTGTCTTTGCAGTTTTAGAGATTCTCTTTCAGGACTTGAGATTGGAAATTCTTTGCCGCAGTGAACTAGGAAATAAAGGCTTGAAATGTAAGATCAGAGGACTAAGTATACGGTGTAAGGTAAGTGAGTTCTGAGCTTGAAAAGCAATCCATCGTGTGAGACCCGGTACGCTAGGTACAATATTGCTTTCTTTCAAGATCGCAGGCAGTAGGTAGAGAAAAATAAATAAATTAACACAAATTCAAGGTAACATGTATATATATATATATATATATATATATATATATATATATATATATATATATATATATATATATATATATATATATATATATACACAAGCCACTTTGTTAGCACTTAGATGGATGACCCCCCTCCCCCCTGTATGTGAGGCCCGGCAGCCTACCGAAGGTCACTCGCACTGACCGGGCGTAGGACTGATGACCCTATCCTGGGTACTTAAATCGCGAATCGTTATGTGGTCAAGATCCTCATGATCTGTAGCACCAACCGGAAAAATATATATATTTTATTGTTTTTATGGTAATGCCAAAGAAAGAGAGATTATTAAATAAGTATTACATACCTATAGTAATTAGGCATACTACATGTAGTACATGTTACATATTACAATTCAGAATATATTTAGATATTTACAATATTAGTTTAAAAAATCAACTAATATTGTTAACAAATTATAAAGTATTATCAGAATAAAAAAAAATACTGCTATATACATTAAAATAAAACGTAATAAGAAGAAAAAAAAAATAACAAGCACAGTAAGCAAAGCAAAACTGTTCTTAATTCAAACTACCTAACTTCAAATTGAAACTACCTACATTCATCCACCAATTCCTTAAATTCCATTTTTTTAATAAAATCTAAGAAATCTGTTTTAAATGTTGTCATCAGTTTCTGTTCTGTTTCTGGCCAAGTTCTTTGTTTTAACATAACGTTTTGTATCAGTCTTGCCCGAATATTGTCCAGTTTTCTGCAGTCAAATCTTAACTGTTGAAAATTGTGTATCCGTCCATCGTGTAGACTCTTGTCGTCGTGTAGTTTGTTAAAGCCTAGCTAATGTTTAGTTTGCCCGTATTCAGTAAGGATTTGTGTCAGTTTGTAGTCGGTACTGTATAAGCGTTTATAGTTGTGGTGTGTGATCAGAGGAATAAATCTATGAAGGCTTGGCGATTTAGATTAAGCCAGCCATACTTGGTTCCATTTGACTATTGTTTCCTTTTTGAGGTCCTTCTTTATATTTGAAATTGAAACCTTACTATATCATAGTAGAAGGTCACACAAGGAAATCCGTTTTCGCTTCTTCATTACCTTTTATCCCCGAATGCTCTCTAATCCATTTTATGGTAATGTTTTTGTCATAATAGTGTAGTTAAGCCAATTTTTTTCTAATGTGGTCTGTAGGTTCGTCATGGATTTTTGCATTTTGAATTGATTGAATAACTTCCATGTTGTCAGTGTAAATAGGTATACGGCTGTCTTATTCTCAAAGAGATAGTTGCTTTAAGAATAGCTAATTTCTCTGCCTGATTATTGGAATATTCGTTAACCAATCTATATTGAGCTTGCATCAGGGTTTCGGTTTTATATTTTAATAGCCAGATACATCCCACACTATCTCCATCCTTTCTTCCATCTTTATTTATTTCTGTCCAGGTTCCTGCGTCAGTGTGTTCGTTCACCAGTAATTGAGCCTGTATGACAGGATGGGTCCAATATTTACAGTTACTTGGAAGGTCTATATCTTCGTGTAATATATTTTTATAGTTAGCGATTCATTTTTTAATGTCAAACAGTTGTACTGCTTCTTTTAATTTTAAATATATTGGAAACATTCCTGCCAAAACGCATGCATCTTTATAACAGGCCTTCGGAGTTTCATAAGATTTGTTTTCCGCATCATAACACACATAGACTTTTGGCAGGTTAGCTCCTTGATGTATGATCTTAAGAATCTCTGCTGCTAATGTCGGTCTGTTTTTTATTGTTTGTAGAGCCTGATTGTAAACGTTAAGTACTAAGTATAATAAAGTACGTCTAAATATTTTAATGTTTCGCGTTTTTTTTATTTGTGAAAAATTTAATCTAATGCTTAAATTTGGTGTAGTCCGTTTTCATGAAAAAATTATAAATTATATATTTTGTGGATTGAAAGTAAGTTTATTATAGTTCACTTACCTTGTTTGTTCCTCTGTTTTGTTGATTTTCTGGATAGTTACAGTTCGTTTCAGCTTGTAGTTCTTTAATATTCTGTCGTTTCGTTAGCAATAGGACATCGTCTGCATAAGGAATTAACTTAGTATCGTCAAGCAATTCTGTTTGTAATATAGTATTGATTAAAATGTTCCATATTACAGGTGATAAACTAGAGCCTTGTGGGCTCCCTTTGATCAAGTTTTTACCAATTGTAAACGAGTTTATTTATATTTTTTGTAACTTAAAAATTTACATTAGACTTTGTCTGTACTTAAAAAATGCTTCTTTTTCTCACATTATGCGACTTAAAGGAGTATTTTTTTTATCAGTTTGAAAAGTCAAATTGTTGTTTTCAGTTAGATTTAAGTAGTCAATAAAGTGTATATCTGTGATTGATATCCCTGCAGTATAAAAACACGTGAACAGTGAAAGGTTAGTTTAGTTGTTTTTCTACATTTTCTCTTCTAAACTTTTTTTTTTTATTATTTCTTAATGACATTAACAACTGTATTACATAAATACATTTAGTAAATTTAGACATAATAGATATAATGACATGAATACACTTGCTCATTAACTACCCAATGGTAGCACTCTATTTCTAAATTAACAACAAAAACCGTCTTTTTGTTTTAAAACTGTTTTTATTTGTCTACAACAAGTAGTAAGTGCGGTTAGACATTAACAATTAGAGTGCGGCAATGTTTTGTCAAAAATGTTTTGCGGCAAAAACCAAAACTGATCTGGAGGAAGCAGTTGAATTCTTCACCTCATTTGTACAGAAAGCTTCCTGATCCTCACCACCTATAAGTGGAAGCCAAGGAATAACTTTGCCGTTGTGTCCTCAATATATCACAGATTTAATTAGAGCTAAGAGAAGATCACCAATGGAATGGCCAACTTACCGACTTCCTTCAGACAGAAGAACTAACAACAAACTTAACAATGAACTCAAAAAATAAATACAGAAGTTCAAACAAATTAATTTTGACATGTACTTAAAAAACTTGACATCTGATGACAACAGTCTGCGGACACACAACAAACGCCTTTTAAAACATTATGAGGTGACAGTCCCAATGAGAAAAGAGGACGGCTCCTGAGCTGTGTCAGATAGTGGAAAAGTTGAAACGTTTGCTGACTATCTCTCAACTGTATTTTAACCCCACACATACTAATCGGACTCACAACAATAACCTTTTGTAAAGAAAGTTTTATACTGCTCTCTTCCAATGTTTAAGTATACTTTCCATTTGCATGGATATGACACATTTAAACTTAAATGATAACATATCTGATGCAGAGATAGTGTACTGTATATAATTACGATTTTAATTGTTAAACAATGTATTTTTCTGCTAATACATACATGTGCTAATACATACTATATTAACATTCCTAATTGAAAACAAACAAAAATATTACCTATTTATTCATTAAAAACAATAGGCCAATCAAAAGCAGAAATATTTTCATATGAAAACATGAAATCAAGTGGTGGAATTTTTGTCTGTCAGTGATATACCTTAATCACAGCCAGAAAACTTCTACAGCAATAATCCAATGACCCTTCAGGTAAATGATTTACCTGAAGTCATTTTTACCTGAAGGGTCATTGGATTATTGCTGTAGAAGTTGTGGCGGTGATTAAGGTATATACACTGACAGACAAAAAATTCCA